ATGTGTGTGTGTCTATGTGAGCTTTCAGAATACACATAACGTTAATCAAAAAGCCCGCATGCAAACATGTCAAAATTTGCATGAATGACATCCGGTGCTGTCTACTGCTTCAGCTGGTAATCTTGACAAATCTCCAGCCTACCCGAAAATACCCGAACCATAAGCAGCGGGTGCATATTGAGCCCAATTTCATGATTCGAAACACAGTAATGACTCAAACTGAACGGCATATGCATAACTACTTTGCTCAGGACCGCTTGAAGAAAAACATCGGAAATATTTGTGTAAGAATTTAACAGAAGAAACGGTTATTTTTCTTATATACAAAGTGGAGGCGCTGAAAAGTTCTCACACCAACCAAGAACGGATTCAAACGTAAATTTTGCTTTTGGTCTTATGTAGTCAGATTCTGAGAAGCAGCCTGTCGTGTATATATATATATATATATATATATATATATATATATATATATATATATATATATATATATATATATATATACCTACATTGATTAACCTCTTTTCGAAAGTAACTAATATGTTGAAATAATAGTGAAAAAGAATACCCTACCGCCCCTTGTTAAAATGATTGGTTTTTCCCATATCCATAGAAACTAACATTATGGATGTATGTGCTTATAAAACTCCGTAAATTTCAAAATAAGTTATTCCAAAATTGAAAACGCTTGAAAATGAAACAGAACTAGGAACTTTAATTTAATTCTATAATTGAATTTGAAGCTTTTAGCTTCTGTTTTTGAAACATGGTAATTCCTGTGTAGCGATGGAACCATATTTTTAAATAAGTAAATTTATAATATTTATGCTCTATAGATTTGCATTGAGCACTGTTTTGTAAAAATAAAAATATTAATAAGAACACCGGATTATATAACTTTCTGTTCTTTCTCATTATAATATATATATATATATATATATATATATATATATATATATATATATATGTGCGTGTGTGTATGTATATATATATATATATATATATATATATATATATATCTGCAACATAACTGAAAAATGTGAGACAAAAATGTGACAGTCTTCCTCATCATTATTGACCCATTGGAATATCCCCCTGGGAGTAATGGTGGTGCTGTATCAGTTATAATATTTCCAGTTTACGTCTCCCCATTGTAAGCATTATTACATTCGCAAAATAATAACACCTTTGTACAGAATAGCTGTAAGAAAGAATTGGTAGATAACCATTGTTCTCAAAGAGATTTCGTATCCTTTTATATCATAGGAGAAATAAAAAAATATATACCAAACACTCATTGTTTCACAGAGAAATAACACATGTGTATAAAACAAACAGCGTGAAAAGAGCGAAAATGGAATCAGTGATACATGTAATATTTCCTGAGGGGAAAACGGCCAGGCAGGTGATGTCTTTTATGATCCTTGGCGTGACGGCGTAATTTCCATTTTCTTCTCTTAACTGCCGTTAACAAATATTTCTTGCTCATCCGGGGTCAGCATTGCAACAGGGTTTCGTCGCCTAACGAACTGATTTCATTCATCGGCCGTCAGGTGGATTCATTTTTCCCAAAGGGGACTTTCCTCTTTTGATTGCAATATGGTCCTCTGTTGGTGGAGATTTCTTCTTGCGAGACATACTGCTGACCTATGAGATAGGCAACAATAAACTGCAAAAGAACTCAAAATTGATCGCTGCATTTAAGTATTATATTAATGTTTAATCTTATCTTTTAAGAGTTCAACGATAATTCTTCTGCTGCCACTTAATTTAAAGATAATTTGATATACGTAGGTCCTTACTTTCAATGCAAACAATTATTTTCATTTCATGGGTGACTTTCGCTGGATTTCGCAATCAATTCTTAAATTTATTTCCAAGTTATAAAATTGGTATCGTACAAAAAATATCGTCGCAAAATCACATAAAAAATCGCCGAAAACAATGGCAGTAATGAAAACTTGGGAATCCAAAAATTTCAGGATTGCAGGTCTGGATCCGGTCCAGAATGTTTTTAATTTGCTCACAGAGTCGGCCTGATTCCAAAATGGTATGATAATCGCTTTTTGAAAAGAAATTAAGAAAAACTTATTGAAAGCAACCATGCAGTATTAATAAATTCATTAAATAAAGCGAAGTTACTACAGTTTAAAAGAGTCTTGTTGTCACATGATCTTTACTAAAATCCACCAGATAATCTTGGTTCATAATGTGTATAATAATAATAATAATAATAGACCCAAAGGTAATTTTTTTCCTTCTTTTCTATACAAAACGATAGAAATAAAAGTCTTAATATCAGATGGCAAAAATCTAAACAAAACCTTGAAAAGCACTTAACGTCGATTGTTATTTCTCTTTGCCATCATCTGTTGTTACGTCACATTAAAGATGTGAAGATGTCGAGACGAATCGTCTGTTTTTCTTGTTTTCTTTTCCTTCATTTTCTTGTCCCTTCTTCCAGCGTCGGTTTGTTTCGTAATTCTTTGCGCACCCAAAACATTAAGTGTCCCGAGGCCTTATTCTACGCAGTTGGTCATCTTGATTTAGTTTGTTTGTTGAGCCACATTGCTTTTGAGAAATGTCTTCTTTAATTTTTTTTTTATTTATCTTTTTTCGTGTTCCAGATTTCTTTTGTAGCGGAAAACAAACGGAGGATGTACGAAAATCTGCCTGCACAGTTCGTAAATCATGGCTAAGGTTGGCATCTGAAAGTTAATCAATCCTTCAGAACCAAGAATAAAAGTTAAAATAAACTTCAGAACGAAAAATGTTCGTTGTTTACATTCAAAGGAAGACTGAAAAGAACCCCCTCCCCACCCACACAATAATCTCCATTTTATTTAGAACTTTACAACGTTTTCTTTTCGTAAAATAAAACGACATTTTAGCATAAACATCAGCATTTTTGTAATTTATTTTAACGTTTGTCCCTGATTTTGAGAGAGTTTAATTAGTTGTATTGGGTATTTCCAAAAGTAGTGAGTAGTTTCTTTTACGCATGCACCACGGTGTAATGGTTAACAAGGCTAGTCTGGTTGATCATAGTAGTGAATTCGTTCACACTGGATACTCTATATACAAAAAGTAGACGTTATGTCGTAATATCGATCAACCACACACAAACACGTATATATATATATATATATATATATATATATATATATATATATGGAACCTTAAAGTGATCTGTTTTTATTTAAAGTATTTGCTCTGGATTTACATTGAGCTCTCTGGATTTTATCCTCCTTAAGTTTACCCATACGGATTACCTAGTTTTCCTAAACTATATATATATATATATATGTGTGTGTGTGTGTGTGTGTGTGCGTGCGTGTGTGTGTGTGTGTGTGTGTTAAAATTTGTGTATTTAGGCAGAAAATTCTCTTTTAGGCATGTCTGACTGAATAAATTCTTTTCACGTTCTAATGAACGCTCGGCACATTGTCAGCCGTTTTTCAATTAAAAAGATTAATGAAAAATTACGGAAATGGATAACAACGCACATCTTTGTATAAATACTTATACTAATGTACAACATATAGTTTTGTACCACTTGAATCCTTGAAGATGATCTTGGAAGAAGATCGAAAGTACTGGGGAAAGGAAAATAAAAGAAATTTAAACAGCTATAGCACATTTCTCTCATCCTTTAACATCAATACACGAAAGTTATTCGTGTGTATGAACGGATTTTATTAAAAATGAGCAGACATAATGTCTGTAATTTATTCAATCAGATATATATATATATATATATATATATATATATATATACGCACACACACACACATATATATATATATATATATATATATATATATATATATATATATATACTGGGTGCATTGGATAAATTGTCGTCTAAATTACGCAAAATGAAAATAACACTGCCATCTCATTTTAACAGATATATTTACCAAAATTAGATAAAAATATTTTGAAATACTAAAGAGTAAATTTATTTAATAAAACCGGCATTGGCTTCAACCACGGCCTCCAGACGACTTCGGAATCTCCTGCAACTCTCCTGGACACTATTCTTGTGTAAGTTGGTGAATAATGCCATAATCTAGAATTCAAGTTGAAAAAGTGTGACACACTGGCATTCGCATTTATTGTATAGATGAGGTTAGGAGAAGTCAGCACATCTCCGACTAGCCTTTGTAATCACAGCTTAGTGGGCCTGTTAGTCCTCACAAATAAGTGAGCCTGTCTCGGTGCCTGAGCTCCCGCTTAGGAATTATGTTTATAAACCAAGGAGAAATTCTGTTGGCTTCAGTCGTGCGTAACACCCCATTCAGTAATGTTTAAAGGTTCTTGGGCCTTCTATTGGTTGAACACTTTTAAAAAAGATTGATTTGTTCGTTTTCTACGGTGTATCGACCTTTTGCTGTTTATTTAAATCCAGAAAATATTTTCCATTATGCCACCAGCACATCCAAAATTACAGTACCTCGTATTCACAAAAGGTCACCCATCTCGGTACTGACTAAGCTCAAGGTTAGTTAACGTCGGTGAGTCTACGGGAACCGATCTTTCAACGTGATTTTTTCAATATGCAAGAAAAGAAAACTAATTTGCTTTTTTATCTGTTTAGTTTGAAGAAAGTTTTCCTTGGACACCAAGCTCAAAGACTTGCTGAATGAAGGGATCGAAAGGCTGGCTTTGACGATACATTCAGTCCTGATGTCTGTATATTATTGATAATGTCCTTTGACATTAAGTGAGGATCCTTCTCGAGAACTCGAATAGGAATTGAAATTTCCTTTACGGTCTTTCAGAAATTTACCATTTTCTGTCAGTTCTTAACTTATTTCCAATTCTTGGGACTTCTTGATAATATTCCGAATTGTCGGCCAAGAAACATTAAAAAGCATGAAAAGTGTTGTATATACATTACTATTCATCTACGCATTGACTAACGTCATTCGAAAGCTTGTAAAAGTTAAATTGTTTTCGTCATGGTTGCAAAACGAATGAGTCATCGCTGTAGGGATTACCGCCATATCACGTTGAAACACCGGATCTCGTGCGATCACCGAAGTTAAGCAACATCGGACATGGTCAGTACCTAGATAGGTAACCGCTCTGGAATACCAGGTGCTTGGATATTCGGGTGGTGTAATGGATAACGGTTTGGAATTGGAAATCGGAAAACCCACGTCCAATTTTTGATTAATCGAACTGAATCATGATATCATGGCTGTTACAATAATTCTTCGAGAGGATTTGTCATGGAGATGTTTAACAAATTTAGCGTTTACTGATGCTAAAATGTTCTCAAACCAATCCTGTTCCACAAATAACGATTTAAATGTACAGAAACATGAATGCTGGTTGTGAAAAATGGATTCGACCATAAGTTGTTCAGTATCTCATTGTATCAAGTCTTAAAAAAAAATTAAATAAAAGCTCTGAGAATTTAAAATTTTTCAGATTCTAGGGATACAAAAGGCGACTATCTTGTTTTGGGCGAGATGAAGTCACGTTGTTCCTCTAACGCCCGTAATGTAAATATGAGTATATAATTTTGTTTATGGCCTAGTGGTATAAATCTCTCTGCGAGAACTAAATATATTTGTCATTCCTTTTCCTTTCAGCCATTACTGTTCCGTCCATGAAATAAGGTATTATTTTATTATGGATTTAATAATGGCCTTAATAGAGGAATGCAAACTGGGAGAATAATACTTTCTTGCATAGTGCTCCCGTTACCTGATATTCCCGAGAAGACAATATAGTACTTACTTCCATTGTGATGATTATCTTTATGTTTGTTGTTTTAGTAATAATATTTCTGCAAGGTAGATCTTTTTCTAGAGTACAGCATATCGTTTAACAGTCAGGAGGTTTTCACAAGAATTCTTTTTTTGGTTGCAGCCGATTATGTCGTTTGTTTTTGGGATATTTTCCAAATTAAACATCTTCTTTCCCAGATGTCATATGTAAAAAGCAAAAGGCCCTCTACATTCGACTATACTTTCGACTCTATTTACAAAAGGCTAGATTAGCATTCAGCTATTTGCCGAAGCCAAGGCTGAATTCATCATTGCAGGGATGAAAGTAAGAATTACAGTATAAACTACAAAGCTAATCAGAAAAGACATTTTGTGAAAACTGAAGCGATTTTTTTCATTAGTCCCCATGCGATATTTATAATTAAAAACAAACTTTTGCGCATCAAAAACAGATGAATCTTAATTAAGAAATGTCTGCCCCCAAATGTCTCCTGTTTATCAGCCTAGACCTGCATTTCCCTAACTTACTTGGGGCAGAAGCAACAAATACATTTTTTGGTGGGCTTCACATGTAAAGCAAAATAATCTATTTAAAAAATGATTTATACATTTTAGCTTATAAAATAATTTAAAGCGTAGGACATTATTAGTAATTACATTTTATTCAATAAATTAATAAGAACACGGGTTTCATGTATATTGGCGACACTTCTAATGAAAGAACACATACGAGAGAGATTCTTATTTCAATAAAAAGTAGTTGTCTCTGACTGCATTTAATTTTTAGCAAAGGAAGGAAAACCCAACGCGAAGAAATATAAGATGGAAAACTCAGTGAAAACAGTTAAAGCATTTCCGCAACTGAAGGATTCTCTTCTTTCCCATTTTATTTCAAAACTTCAGAAGTAAATTTCAGAACAGTTTTCAAAGAATTCAGAAAATTATATGATTGATTTTGGCTGGAATTTATACTCCGATGTCTGGAGATTGTTTGCTCTTAAAAGGTGGGAGTATTTGCAAACGAGAAGAGATTTTAGTGGGAGTTTTTGTTGTAACATTTGTCAAACTAAAGAATAAATCAATAATGAATGGATAAATTAAAGTAAATGATAAACGAGCCAAGAAAAATAGGAAAGAAAATATTAACACTTTAAGCCCTGACCACCGATTTACCGGTGCTAGAGAAAATTGACTTAACGTCCAGCCAACACCTGTAACGCAGGGCTGAAAGGGTTAATATTTAAGCTTAACTTTTAAAAGTTCAACGATAATCCTTCTTCTCAACTGGTTAGGATCTTAAGATGGCTAAGCTCTTACCACGTCCTTATTCTGACACTGCGACTGATAGACAAGTCTGATTTAACAAGTCGAAATTTATGAGGAAAAAACACAAACTACAGATGCTTAATAAATTCTCATAAAAAACTGTTAAACGTTTGAGCCTTGACCACCATTTTACTGGTGTTAGAGACAAATGCCGTAATGCCCAGCCACCGATTAAACAGCGGTAGAGAAAAATGACTTAATGGGGTTAAACAGTGGTAGAGAAAAATGCCGTAATGCCCCCCCCGGTTAAACAGTGGTAGAGAAAAATGACTTAATGCCCACACCCCCGGTTAAACAGTGGTAGAGAAAAATGCCGTAATGCCCACACCCCTGGTTAAACAGTGGTAGAGAAAAATGCCGTAATGCCCAGCCACCGGTTAAACAGTGGTAGAGAAAAAATGCCGTAATGCCCACACCCCCGGTTAAACGGTGGTAGAGAAAAATGACGTAATGCCCACACCCCTGGTTAAACAGTGGTAGAGAAAAATGCCGTAATGCCCAGCCACCGGTTAAACAGTGGTAGAGAAAAATGCCGTAATGCCCACACCCCCGGTTAAACGGTGGTAGAGAAAAATGACTTAGTGCTCAGCCACCGGTTGAATGGTGGGTAAAAGACTTGTAACTATTTTTATATCTACCGTGAAACATTACATACCAATTATTTGCGAATTTTGACTCAGGAGTTCAGGCAGAAGGGTTGAAATTGTTCATGAAATCAACATCAAAGAGTTAAGGATTGATTAAAAGAAAAAAATCATGAAATAAAAGAAATATGAAAATTATTTTTGTTATTGTTTGTTTGTTTAGTGGCACATCAACCCCTAATGGGTCATTTAATGCCGAAAGTTAATTTTCTTGGGAGCATTAGTAATTTCTTTTACAAAAATGTATTGCTGGTAATAATTTTACTTACAGAAATACATTGCTTGTAATTTTTCATTCTTTTTTTTTACAAAAATGTATTGATGATAATTGTTTTACTATGAAAATGTATTACTGATATTTTTATTATAAACAAAATGTATCTTTATACTTTCATAGAATTTTGACCTCAGTTTGGGGGTTAACTATTTACGCATAGCTGGGACCCTAACAGGTGTTATCACCCTGGATCAGGGTGGACCTGGGAATAGCAGCAATTAAAAGGAAGTTCGACACGCCTCAAAACCTTCCGATCCGAGACCTTCTTACGGGACGTTGTTTATCCTCATACTCACGACGAAATATGAAAATAATACGGAAGTAGATCAAGAAATATATAGTGTAAGGCGTATTTGAAAATTAAGTGCTGTTAGCGTCTTCAAAATTGCTTCGACTGTTAATTTTCTGGATGTCTCTCTAATATCGAAATGTTTCATTAGAATCAGTGCATGAGACAGAATTGGGTTGTTCTTTAAGCACTGAAAGACGAAGTAACTACCAGAAAAGAAAGGTATAGATATTTCCTAGACTTCCCAAAATAACTTTCAAGATTGAAGGTCACTCAATTAATCAAAATTCAAATTATATTTACAGCTTTGTATAAGGAATGCGTTTCCTTAACGTTAGACAGCAACAATTTCGGTACTCGGATATTAGGCCGACGGATATTTGGCTGACGGATATTTGGCCGACGGTCATTTAGCCGAAAATGTAGTGGCGTACTTACATGTATATCATACACTTTATCGTAGTGTGCTACCTATATTTATATTTATTTACTGTATAATTTTTCGGGTTTTTTTTTGACAGGCTTTTTTAAAAACTATTCTGCATATATTATATTTTATTTCAAATATTACTGTAAGATGATACGTATTTTAAGAAAAAGCACATTTTACTACAGCAAAAATCTTAAGCTTTTGCGATATGAAATATCTTTCAATTTCGCTTTTAAATGATCATTCTCTTAAAGGGATGAACTAGTTTTTATCCTACTGTTAAATACGAATTTAAAAAATTAGGTGCTACTTTTTACCCAAATACACTCGAATAGTTTTAAAAATACTAATGTCAATAAACAAATACTGAAATAAGAAAACTTTTAACTTTAAATTTAGTAATTTAATCATTTGAAATTCAGTGATAATTATTAGTCCTATTCTACCTTATAACACTGCTACTTAAAATACTTAAAGTATTGCTTGTTACTATTTTTACTTGTACTTTTTCAGTGAAATGTCCGTCGGCCAAATGTCCGTTCGGCTAAATTTCTCTCGGCCAAATGTCCGGCCACAACTATTTACCTCTACATTGTTGTTACTCAATCTTAATATCCCATAATTCATAGTTGTAGATTGTCTTTACTTTTGGTTGGCTCGAAAAAGAATGTTAAAAAAACAAAACAAAAAAAAACCATCATTATGTTTAAAAATTATGCTTGGTTTAAATTATTTTTTTCCTTGATCAGAGTTCATAGAAATATTGATTTGTTTTAATAGACTCAACGAATGCTTCACAGCTATAGATACGGACCAATTATTCCAGACATAAAATTAAAGTAGAGAAAGTTTAAAACACTATATAATCGATTGGGTTGGTGAGACGAAATTCGTGACAATAACCCTATCGTCACAGAAGTTTGGCATAATGACTCGAGTAGACGAGTTGATGCACGTCTGATTCGATCAGACATCTTCCGCGCCTTGGCTCGATGCGGCCGCCGGATCGACGCTGGTATCCATCGGATGCAGATGCAGCATCCGCGTCGACCGACTTTCTTTTTAGCTTTCTCCTCCGTTCGTCTCTCTCGGAATGAACGATCAGTCCTGTTTAATTTGTCTGCCGCGAGGCGGTGCCTGTCGCATCGACACCACATCTGCAGGCGGTAGTCTCCAGCGAAAACGTAATCAGTCATTTGTCGATTCGATATAGTCGCCTGCGGGCTGGGTGCGCGTGCATGTGCCATGACTGCAGAGTAAGCATAGTTTATGACACAAGGTCACAATAACGAAACACTCGAATTTAATTGTATACAAAAATAAATAAATAAATAAATAAATAAAAATAAAATAAAAATAAACAGTTATGTAGAAGACAATGTCATTTTGAAATTTTAAATT